CTCCGGTATGATGGATGAGAAAGATCAGGTCTTCGAGGTACATAAATTACGAGATGATGAAGGATGGCATCTATTCAGGAAGATTGTTGGTAGCAATGTTGAAAGCTCTAATTTTCAACCGACAGCTAAAGAGATAGTTGAGAGATGCATCGGGTTGCCCGTTGCTATTGCATCTGTTGGAAAGGCCATGAAAGGGAAGACTCAACAATTTGAGTGGGACGATGCTCTTACAGAATTAAAAAAGCCTTCTCCAGACGGGATAGCTGCAGCTGTTTATAATCCCATAGAGTTGAATTACATTAACTTGAAAGAAGAGGAGCTCAAGCAAACATTCATTCTTTGTAGTTTGTTGAGCCGTAACTCTTCGATCGATGACTTGTTAAAATGTGGCATGGGCTTGGATTTATTTCAAAAGGTGAACACAATAGAAGAGACTAGAGCCAAAGTACTAAGATTGGTTAGTCATCTCAAAAGTTCATCTTTGTTAGTTGATGGTGAGAGCAGTTTGCATTTTGAGATGCACGATCAGATTCAGGAGGTTGCCTTCTATATTGCTTTCAGAGACCGCGGTGGATTAGCTTTAGTCGACGAAGCTGCAAGGAGAAAGTTGAAAGATAAGAAGTCATTAGAAAAATTGAAGTGGCTTTCTTTGCCGAATGGTGATATTGAGCTTCCAGCCAATGAGTTCCAATGTCCGCAGCTCACTTTCTTTTATCTGTCTAACAGGGCTCAGTCTCTACAATTTCCATCAGAGTTCTTTAAAAAAGCAGATGGACTCCATGTCTTGTGTTTGACTAAAGTTGACTTTAAGTCAATGCCTTTGCCAATTCCCTTAATCCCAACAAACCTTCATTCCTTACTTCTAGATCGATGTGCGTTTAAAGTCGAAGGCCTCAGAGCCATTATGGGGAATCTGGAGAATTTAGAGGTCCTTAGCCTTGCAGGCTGTGATATTGAAGAGTTGCCAAGAGAAACAGAGAAGTTGAGCAAGCTAAAGTTGTTAGATGTGAGTGACTGCCCCAAACTAAGAGTAATTCCACGACAAGTCTTAGCAAGTTTGTCCAGATCTTTGGAAGAGCTAAAAATGGGAAACAGCTTCAACCAATGGGATGTGGAGGAAGGAAATGCTAGGCTTGATGAGTTAGCAGTGTTGCATAAGCTAACTGCTTTAGAGGTACGTATTCCTAATTTCCGACCAATTTTGTTCCCTGAAAATCTAAGAAGGTTCAAGATTTTATTAGGAGAAGTGGTAATGTGGTACCCTTGGGACGGCTCTTTTGAAAGCTCAAAAAGAATGAAGCTAAAGCTACAGGGTGCAAGCATTAAATCTGATGACTCAGTTAAAAAGTTGTTGAAGAAGACAGAAGAACTGTGCTTACAGGGATTAAATGGTGTTGAGAATTTAGTTTGTGAGTTAGATGATGAAGGTTTTCAACATCTGAAGAGTCTCCTTGTCGAATTTGCTCCAGACATTCGATGCATCTTTAACCCAGCAGGGAGGTTGCTTCCTTCCCATGTGTTTCCCATCTTGGAGGTATTGACTCTTGGCAATTTGGAAGATATGGAGAAGATATGTCATGGTCTGACTGGAGCAGGGCCTTTTAAAGTATTAAGAAAGATAACCGTTTATGGTTGTGATCAATTGAAGAATCTGTTCTCCTTCTCCATGGCCAGAGAGCTTCGACTTCAAGAAATAACAGTGGCAAATTGCAACAACATTGAAGAGATTATTGATGACGTGGAGGAGCAAGGCAACGGAAATGATATCGTTGAAGAAAGTGAAGGATGTAAGCTTGGTGGCAGTCTGCGGTCCTTAACATTAGAAAATTTGCCAAAACTGATTAGCTTCTTCAACAGTGATAATTGCAGCGGCATCTCACTTTTCAACGATAAGGTACTTAATTCATTTCCTTTATTTTGTGTCATTTTTTTGTTTCTTTGCGGAAGAGTAATTAGAAAATATAAAAAATTAATCTGACCGTTCTTTGTTTTTTTTATGGAGATCAACTGGGTTTCAAGTTTGGGCTAGGTTCCATAGTAATCCAATAGTTTTAGCGTTTTACATTTTTATAAAATTTTTAAAGAGTTACTTTAAATTATTTTAAAAAATGCAGATGGTTAGACATATTTAAAAGAAATATATATTACTCATCGAAAAGCTGAAAAATATAGGAGTATTAAAAAGGACTCAACCTTATTCCAATTTGATAACGGAGGGCGCAAACTTTTATTCTATAAAAAAGTGTGGAATGCAATCAATTTTTAAATCTATTGTGCTTGATTTATTACAAAAAATTTTAATTTAATTTAATGATTTGAATTCACAATCAATTAAAATTTTGTAGAATTCATTTGGAATTATACACTTTTTTATACATATTTTTATTTTAAATTACATAACATGATGTAATTATCTCCCAACTTATTATCCATTCCACTGCTTTTATTTTTATTGAAAAATGATTATTATACTTATACTTGATTGGATTAAAAAGTATGGAGTTCAATTCTAAATCTTTTAACCAAAATAATTCCTAAACATTTAAATAGGTTAATTCAAATTCTATCAATTTTAATTATTTCTTTGATAAACATTTTTAATGAAATTTGGTAATGAAGTCTATATTTTTAATGATTACTAAATACTCTTCCATTTTGAACTTTCTCACTCTCATTCACAAATAATGAGGTTATTATTTATTAAAAAAATAATTAAAGTATGAAATACAATTGAATTTCACAAAACTTTTTTTTGTTCAAAATAAGTATAGAATTGAGTTAAATATAAAATTTTTGCTAACCCTCACCATTTGTGAGGTCGATGACTAGAATTAGTCTAACAAATTTCATGATTTATAAATTTACAATTAAATTCCACACTTTTTAATTAAACCAAACATAATAAATATAGGTCAACAAAAAGAAAAACATAAGTATAGAATTATAAATGACTTTCACAAAACTTTGATAAAATTAAACATAAGGTATGAATTAGGGAATTCAAATAACCAGAATTAAAAAGTTTTTAATCAAACTAAATACAATGATGATATAGATTTAAAAACGACTTACACAATTTTTTGTGGAATTCATTTAAAACCAAATACTAGGTGTTTGGATTAACAATTCAAATCAGTAAATAACTAATAAATGATATCTCATGATCCATAATTATTATCGTATATAATTTAAATTTTTTTAATTTAATTAGTCTAAACTACTACTTATTAATTTCAAATCTCTATACTAAATACTCTTACAATGGGACAAATAAAAACGTGATCATATAATTTATTTGGTGCATACATATTAGAGATTAAATCTTAAACATATGAATAAAGAATACATGTAACTCTATTATCAAACTACATCATTGATGGTATGTGATAATATACATATATTTATCATACTACATTAGGATTGTAAGTTTCCAATACCACTTAATATATGCCATGTAAGATTTTAAACTTATAAAAACTTATTTATAATTATAACGTATTAATAAATGAGTAAATACATACAATAATAATTATATTATAATATATCATGATTATAAACTGAAAATATTATGTAATATTAGAAACACATAACGTAAAACAATATCGTAGTAAAAGGTAAATATAGTGCTTGCAAATTTGACAAGTCTATTAAATATGTTTCAAAACAGAAACAAAATGCATATAAAACTCCTTCTAGTCATATTTTTACTTGTCCTATTTTATTTATTTATGATTGCTAAGGCTCTATTTAGAATAAATGTAATTTTGAATGTGTGGTTTAGTTTTCAAAAATTTAAAATCCTTAAAATAAAATTAAAAAGATTTATAAATTAATTAATTTGAAATTTTAAGTTTTAATTTTAAAAATTTATATCTAATACGTTGTCAATTTTAATTTTTAATGTTAATTTTAAAAATTAATAATTTTTAATTATTAATTTTAAAAATTAAAACAAAAAACTAGGTTACAACTCCTTGAAATTAAGAAGATTTATAAATTAATTAATTTGAA